TCTGGGAAAGGAGGGTTCTCTTTGGGGAGATACCCACAGTCCAGAAGGGATTCGGAGAAAGATCTCGGAACTGATCATGCGTTAACCGTCTGCATCAGTGCTTCTCACCACTGTGGTTTTTTATGTTATTGTTTGGATCGCACATTGCTTTGAGAAGCCAGTGAAAGCCACAGATCTCTCTAGAGAACACAAACCCCTTCAGGTTAGAAACTCCTGATCTTTTACATCCTGTGTGTGCTGCAACAGACAACAGGGCACCCCACCCAGCAGGCTGCTTGCTCTGTTCTCCCGTTAACCTTGCACTTGTGCCCCAGAGACCAGCGATGAAACAAGCAGTCCTTTACAGTATAGAACTACTGCATTGGTAGATCTTGTCTCGTTGGTGGAAATGAGGTCAGATTCCCTTTGTCTTCTTCACTCTTTGAGGGCTTGGCCTGTTGTTACCTTTGAGGATTCTCCTCATTTTCTTCAAGAGGAGTCTGCTGAGCTTGCTTTGTGGTTCCCTTGACCGTTTACTTTTTTAAAAAAATATATTTATTTATTTTTGGCTGCGTTGGGTCTTCGTTGCGGCGCGCGGGCTTCTCATTGCCGTGGCTTCTCTTGTTGCAGAGCACGGGCTCTAGGTGCGTGGGCTTCGGTCGTTGTGGTGCACGGGCTTAGTTGCTCCGCAGCCTGTGGGGTCTTCCTGGACCAGGGCTCGAACCCGTGTCCCCTGCATTGGCAGGCGGATTCTTAACCACTGCGCCCCCAGGGGAGCTCTGCCCATTTACTTTTGTTCAAGCTGCTTTATTTCCCCCTTTTCCATCTGGGACAGATGTGCCATTTCCCCTTAAAAAAAACTTTTCTAAGAATTATATTCCTTTGATCCTGCCACGTCTTTCATAGTCAAATCAGAGGTTATCACCTTTTTACTTCTGTCAATTTCTTTATCATCACTGTTGACCATTGTCATAGTTGTTACCACTACTGACATTTATGGAGAAACTTCTGGCTGGGTGCCATGCTGTGCTGTTTACATGCATTATCTCAGTCCTTTGAAGTAACCGGATCTCATTTTAAAGGAGTATAAACTGAGGCTCAGAGAGCCCAGTAACTTGCCCAAAGCCCCATAAGCTAGGAAGTGGTAGATGGGATTTGAATCTAAGTAGGTCACCAGGACACCATGGCCCACTTCTTAACCACTTTACTAACACTATAGAGAGTTTAGTAATTCAAATTCCCTCCTATGTGGTGGGTGAACAGCTGAGTGGACAATAATGGGTAATGTTTACTGACTACTAATTATAAGCTTTAGATGGACTGTATCTTTTTCCTTCACAATAACCTTACGTGTCAGAAGCTATTATCCCCATTTTGAGGTGAGAGTATAAAGCTGTCTCCCCTCTTGGGACCTCAGCCGTAAGGTATTGGAATACATCTGTCTTTGAAGCAATATTTTCTATTAGCCAGAGGTACCTTAGACCTGAAATATGGAAAATGTAGCAGAGTTCATAGGTGGTTGTCAAGTACAGCCAAGTAAGTGTGACAGATGGGGGCAAAAAATGCTTCCAGGACACACTGAAGCATGTCCAGTTGAGAGGGGTTAGCTGAGAAACCTCAGAGGCGAACCACGCTGACGGGTACCAATCACAGCTGTTTTCAAGACAAGTCATCCCCAGGCTCTATGAGGCTCATTTCTTAATATAATGAAAAATTATGTTTGAAACCAACAGCCAACATCATGCTTAGCTTGAAACACTAGGCATTTTGAATAAAGTTAAGAACAAAACAAAGAAAACCGACATCATAGCTCTTACCAAATGACACATGAATAAAATCCAGATTCTTTCCCATGGCTCCAGGGTACATCACATCCACCCCTTCCCACCTCGGCAGGAGGTACTGCCACTGTCTGTCTTGCTAGTTATTTATCTAAATCCTGCACTCCGGCCACCGGTTAGCGGGCCTCTCACCGCTGTGGCCCCTCCCGTTGCAGAGCAACAGGCTCCCGACGCGCAGGCTCAGCGGCCATGGCTCACGGGCCCGGCCGCTCCGCGGCATGTGGGATCTTCCCGGACCGGGGCACGAACCTGCGTCCCCTGCACCGGCAGGCGGACTCCCAACCACTGCGCCACCAGGAAAGCCCTATACCGAGCTTTTTTGTGTTTTGAGGCCTTTGCATTTGTCTTCCCATCCCCCTGGATGCTCTGCCCCAGGCCCTCTCTTGCCTGGTCCTGCTCACCTTTCAGGAGGCTCCTTCCCGCCATGGTATCTCCAGGGAGTTGTCCTTTGCTTTTCTGCCTTTTCCCTTTCAGCCGCCTCCTTGTTCCCTTCGTCGCCTCTCTCACATGTAATTATCCCATTTGTTTTTCTTGTTTACTTTAAGTCTCTGCTGATCTTGAGCTGCACAAGGACCCTGTCCACAGCTCTATCTAGCACTTAAAAGGATGCCTGACACATAGAAGATGATTTGCAAATATGTGTTGAATAAATGAATGAACGAAGATCATTATGTACCAACGGTAGCCAGGTAGAAAATGTAATGGTGGTGAAATTAATAACAGGAACAAAAAATTATTAAATAGAGCTTAGAAATAAATTTGTGTAGGACGTATATTCATTTATTTAACAGATTTCAGCAAGTACCTGCTATGCTAGGCACTGTGACTTAAAAGGTGAATAAGACAAACATGGTCCTTGCCTGTTTTGAACCTAGAGAAATACAGAATTTAACTGAGACAGAGATGAAGCCATCATTTCTCTTAAAAATAGCAGGTGTATTATTTAACTCAAAATTTTGTCTGACTATTTTTATGGGGGTGGCGGGCGGGAGGAGATGGGAGAGGGGTATAGCAGAACAAAATTATTTGAAGTTTATCTGAAAAAAATTAACCTCAGAGACTACTTGATTTATTTTTTAAAGACAGTGATGGGTGCTCTGGTTAGTCATACTTCCAAACTACTGCAGTGTGGTACTGGCTTTGGAATAAGTCATAAGTGTAGGGTAAAGATAACATTTCAGATCGCTGGGTAATCAGTGTCTTGGTCAACCATTGATGTTGGGATGTGGACTGAATCATTTGAGGGGAAAATGAGATTCAATCTTGACCTCAGGCCATACGTTTTTTTTCTTTCAAATTACTTAAAGACTTAGTTGTAAAAGGTGAAACCATCAAAGTCTTGGAAGAAAATATAGATGGTTTTAATAATATAGATGATATAGAAATGAAAATACAGATGGATATAATGTTAGTGCAGGAAAGGCCTTTCTAAGCCTGAATAGCAGGCAGAAACCTTAATAGAAGGTTTGGTGGATTGGAGTACCTAAGAGTAGACTTAGATGGCAAAACAAAGAAGGGGGGACAGTTGTTAATACAACAGTAGATGGTGGTTAATAAGCTTAATATGTAAAATATTCTTAGACACCAGTAAGTGGGTTGTATCTAGAATCATCAAATCTTGGAGCGGGAAAGGGTCTAATCCTATCCCTACATTTTACCAATGATGATGTCCATTTCCAGAGAAGTTAATTTCCTTACTCAAAGCCATACAACTAAGTGATCAATAGGACCCTTTTGCCCAACACCTCGGTGGTGTTTGGGTGCAGAGAGTTAGGGAGGTAATGCAACCAGGAAACCTAAAGGACTCATGTTGGGGACGGTTCAGATAGTACAATTCCAAGTACAATTTCAAGAAAGGGTCAGAGTTCGAAAAAATAGATTTTTAAGCCTTAAATAAAAGAGGCGTAGAGGATCACTAGTTGGCCGTGTGTATAATAACATTCTTGAGTTCCTGGGGTGTTTTTGTTGTTGATTTTTAGAAAATTAATTATATATTACAGTTTTTCATTTTAATCCAAATTGAGATTTTATTCGTTGTCCAGGTAGGTTTGCTTTGCCAGGGTCTTGGGGAACCTCAGGTATTTGATCAGAGAGGCCATAATTCAAGGATCACACTGTATGCTAGCAGCTTGCCTGAATTTCAAGCTTAGTACTGAGTAGAAATAAAAAGCAACCTTTGAAATGTGCCAGCCTCGTTTGAAAATAGAAAACATAGGAAGCGATAGCATTTGTCCCAGTTCATAACAAAATTCGTAGTATTCCTTCATTTTCTCTACAAATTACATCCTGGCTGTGTGTCAACACTGCACAAGGTTACGTGGATTAAAAAGAAACTACACAGGGCTTCCCTGGTGGCACAGTGGTTGAGAGTCCGCCTGCCGATGCAGGGGACACGGGTTCGTGCCCCAGTCCGGGAGGATCCCACATGCCGCGGAGCGGCTGGGGCCGTGAGCCATGGCCGCTGAGCCTGCGCGTCCGGAGCCTGTGCTCCGCAACGGGAGAGGCCACAACGGTGAGAGGCCCGCATACCGCAAAAAAACAAAAAACAAAAAACAAGAAACTACACAAACATACAAATCAGCAAACGCATGGGGCCTTGTCCTTACCTCGGGTGAGGCTGGTGATCACTGTGAAGATGTGTGTATGAGGTATGTACAAGGTGCTGTGTGGGTCTAGGGGAGAGAACCACCGTCAGCCTGGTCTGAGGGATGAGCCAAGAGGGCGTCTAGTGGCCTTGAAGATGCTGTCAGTAATCCGCGGACATCCCAGAGTTCACTCAGCTCCTTCAGATTAAATTGCCTTAACTTAACTGTTTTAGGAATTCTGTTTCCAGTGCTGGATGTGTTTCTGGCGCTGAGGCATTGCTTCACAAACATTCTAATAAACTTCACTTCTCTGGAGGAGCCCCCAATTCCAAGGGAAAAAAAAAAATCGTTGTGAACACTTTCCTCTGTCCCCTTACCGGCATCTACCAAAATAATATTTGGGTTAATTTATGCCATTTAAAAATAATAATTTTCCAACTATTGGTGATAGTTTTTTTTTCTTCTTCTTCCCTACCTATTCTCTTTTTACTTTCTACTAATTCTTGTTCCAACTCAGTTTAATTTTGTCGATTATAGTTTGGGAATGTGTGTGCTGTGCTTTCCGTAAAGCAGCCTGTGTTAATATTTCTTCCAGGGGTGAATCGGGTGCCGGGAAGACAGAAAATACTAAGAAAGTCATTCAGTACCTTGCTCATGTCGCTTCTTCACACAAAGGACGAAAGGACCATAATATTCCTGTAAGTGTTTGTTCTGCTGTTGTTTTTTCAAACCCTTAGATTTATTCTTCTGTAATTTCAGAAACAAGAATCAGAAAGCAAGCGTCCTCAGTGTGCTGCTGTAATTGACAGGTCCCTTGTCTCCGCCACTCCCCACGCAGCAAGGAGGGAGCTAGGGCATCAGGAAATTGTTAGTAACTAGCGATTCCACCAGGGCAAACTGGAATTACGGTTGTAACTCGAAGCCTAATTTCTTACAAAGCTGTGGTGGGGATTGTTAAACATGGATGAGCAGTGCTTAGGAAGGCTTCTTCGTTTCCACCAAAAGATTTGATCCTCAGATATTTTCAGCGCTTCTTCCTGAACCTACAGAGCTACCACCCACAGCAGCCCGAGGGGAGGATAGAAATTGGGGGAGAATTGATGATAGAAAAGGGGTGAGAATGTAAACGTCAGTTATCCTTAATCTGTAGGTATGAGAAGTAGTAGTTAACACTCCCTGAGAGATGCCAGGCGTACCAGCTTTCACGGTTCTAAACCGCACATTGACTTTGTGCTTTGGATGTGGCTTTACCGCTAGGAAAAGACCCAAACTCGCTAACGTTTGCATTTATCTGTTTGTAACGAGCAGCAGGAATCACCTAAACCAGTGAAACACCAGGCAAGTGCTTTTCTTTATGCTTCTTAAGTCATGAGTGTTTGCACTAATTTCTGTCTTTGGATTGAATCTCTACTAGAAACAGATACCATTAGTTCTGAGCAACGTCTCCTATGAACAAAATATTGAGTTTTGAAATTGTGTTGCTTTGAGGCTTATTCTTTCCTGAGAAGCAGCATGCCCGTTTGCTTTACCTTTGTTTTCTAGAGGAATTTTAATATTTATTTACCCTTTCATCATGACATTGAATCATACGTTCATGAAGCCTGTAAACTTAGGGTTTCACGTGTCAGTTACCAGGTGGAATTACTTTAATGCTCCCTAAACAGGTGGAAACCTAACTTTATGCCACACGTTAAATTTTGAATTTGGGGGCTGCAGCTCGAAAAGTTGCAACTTAAAAAAAATTCTGATCTGTTAACCTTGTAGGGCCTGGTAAGTGTTTTAACCCCAAAGCCTCGTTGTATTTAATACATAAATTTAGGATTTTCTTTATCCAGGGCAAGTAGCAGAGGAATGTTATTCTCCCTAATTGTCAGGTGCCCGCCTTTTAGCTCCGCAGAGCATAGCAGTGAACAAACCATGGACCGGAGCATTTCCTGCTACTTGGCAAGAGAGGGAGGGCGGAGCTGAGCCAGATGCCTTGGATAGAATGGGACGTCTGTACTTGGACAGCCCATTCCCTCGCACTGGAACGGTTCTGGTGTGTCTTCCACAAGCATAGTGGTGCAAAGCTAGCATAAAGCAAGAAACGATCGTGTTATGAAAACAATCTCTTAACATAAACGATCAGAAACATCTAAAGGAATAGTCCCAGATACTGAGACGTTCAGATATCTTTTTTAGAATTCTTAAGAAATTCTCAGACACTAAAGCTGTACTATACCTATGAAGGCCCAGGATGTCCTTTTGCTTTTAGCTGTAGACCAGACCAGTGATAATGCATTGGGAGGATGAATGAAATAATCATTATCCTATATGATATTTAAAGGCTTCTTTGCCAGTTAAAGAAGGAATCTCTAGACCAGCAACCAGCTTTTCTTTGTGTTTTAGAGTACATGCTAAATGACCCTTTAATATGTACTTAGATCACTAGCAAAATAGTGTTAAATAGTTAACGTACAGATTTCGTTTTTCCAAATCCTCTGTGGATTACATAAATCATCATTGTTAACATTTTGTTTCGATGTCATCTTAAACTACAGAGCGGATCCCTGTGGTGTGTGAGTAGCATGCCTACCCCTAGATTTTACTTTGAGTCAAATGAACCCCCGTAAGCAGGTATCCTCCAAGAAGGCGAGGCGACAGCTTCTCTGGGCCGTGCTGCACTGTCATTACCGATTTGCATGTCTTGTTGCATGTTCGCACTCTGCGCAGAATCTTCCATGCTGCTTTCCCCAAGGTTATGTTGAAGCTAGTCAAGTAGTAGCTGTGCCATGTTTTTAGAAACATGAGAAGACTGCTGGTTCTCAATTACTTTTTCTTCCCCAGCGCACCTGAGGAATATGAGATACTCCTGAGCATAGGGACTGCTCACACCCTGGAGAGGGTTGAGTCGAGAACTTACTTCTCTCCCCACACCCCCTGCCCTTCCCGGGCGCCCGCAGGCATGCCTTCCTCGCCCCATTTTGAGGATGACTGCCGCAAAGTAATGGTTATACTTTGCAAAGGCAGTGTTTCTCTGGGTTTAATATCACTGGTTTCCAAATTTATGTTGACCTTTATTGGCAAAACTCAGATTCCCAGGAAGAGTTTGTGTCAATTGCTAGCATTTTATCACTAAACAGCAGTATAAATTGTAAAAACAAAGTGGAAGGCATTTGTAGGCTCCTGATTTTGTGAGTCTTTGTCTCTTTGCTCATTCTTTTTTTTAAATAACTCTATTAAGATTTAAATTCATGTCCCATAAAATTCACTCCTTTAAAGTGTACAGGTCAGTGGGTTTTTTTTTTTTTCAGTGTATTCCCAGAGTTATGCAATTATCACTACAATCAATTTTAGAACATTTTCATCACCCCCAAAAGAAACCGTATACCTATTAGGAATCACCTTCCATGTTCCCCCAGCCCCTGGAAATCCCTCATCTACTTCCTGTCTCTCTGAATCTGCCTATTCGGGGTATTTTATACGAACGGAATCATATAATATGTGGTTCTCACTGTGCATAATGTTTTCAAGGTTCATCCATGCTGGAGCTTGTGTAAGTGCTGCATTCCTTTTTGTGGCCAAATAATAACCTGTTCTATTAAATTTGTCACGTTCTGTTTATCCCTTCACCAGTTGATGGCCATTTGGATTGTTTCCACTTTGGCACCAATACGAATGATGCTGCAATATATAAGTTTTCACGTAGCCATACATTTTCAGTTCTCTTGGGTGTATACCTAGGAGTGGAATTGCTGGATTGTGGTAATTTTCTGTTTAACATTTTGAGGAGCTGCCCAACTTTTCCATAGAGGCTGCACCACTTTACATTCCCCGCAGTGTTTGAGGGGGCCAGTTTCTCCATATCCTGGGCAACACTTGTCATTGTCTTTTTATTAAGGCCATCCTAGCAGTGCGAAGTGACCGATTTTTTTTATGTTTACCTTATAACTTCATTATAGAAATAGGAACAAATGTAAGAAATAAATTTTCAAAGTTAAGGTCACAGTATTTAAGAAGTAAACCATTTACCTCTCAACTTTTACTTACCATAACAAAATGAGTCCTCGTTTGGCTTAATGCCCCGGCCAACAGCAAGTACAGCTCCAGTGCCCATATTCCCTCATCGTAGGTCCCTGTTACAGACCCTCGATGTCTGGCACAGTGTTCAGGGCCACTCCAAAGCCTGGACGTGGTACGATTTCAGAGCAGGTTTGAGGATGACTAATTTCTTAGACTGGACCATCCCCGGGGAATGACCCCTTCAAGCCAGCCCACCTGCCCACTGACTCCTAAGTCATCCACCTCTAGATGGCAGCTTCCGGATGACTCTTATCTACTGGTCTAAACTGCCTTGAACTAAGACAAAAAGGTGATAGATAGCAGGTAACAAGCACAGAAACTAGAGCCTGCCACTCGAGATGAGAGTCTGGTTCTAAACATGGCGATTGACTGCTGCCGCCAGCTTCCAACCGTACTCTGCGGTCAGTGGGACACCTGCAGCTTTGCCCATCAGGCCTACAGGTGCAGCAAGAGTCCAGCCCGAGTCCCCTTGCTGGCTGAACTGGAGTTTTGAAAGAGGTGTATGTATATATATAATTTTTTTTTTAACCAATTTAAAACTCATCCTATATCTATCATATAGCAAGTGTATATAATACACTGTGTAATAAACACAAGGGTATAGTTTTCATCACGATTGGTAAACCTTTAAAGCATCGTATCATTCTAAATACTTAGAACTTTAAAACTCATTTAAATAGCTAATGCTGATTTCTTTTCCCCACATTCGCAAGTGACATTTCTCATTACTGTATAGAATAGAAAAGGGACATTGCCCATCCGAGTCCCAGCAGAGAGGTTAGCACTTAGTCACTGTCCCCTGATGGTTTGTAAATGGCTTCATAATTTGGTTGAGAGCTGTTAGCCCTGTTTATCTAAATGTGAAATTATTCAAGGCAGAAATGGTCAAATTTTCGTGGTAATTTCTTAAAGATCATTTTTGTGTGTTTTATGATATTAGCTCTGTGTCAAGCTCTTTGTGATTCATTTATGAGTTTTTGAGATCTTTACTTGGTCTCAATGATGTCAAAAATCCATTGGAAGAGAAGTACCACCACATTCCTGTTAATGTTGTGTCCTTCAAAGCAGGGACCCAGGCCTGTGGTTATGACAGTGATTACGAGGACCCTTAACCCAAATCTTACTTCCACCTCTGGCTCACCACCATCCCCTCCCCAAATACTGCTAGAATGTCTTCGGACCGCTGATTACCATCCATTCAGCAAACGTTCACAGAGCATCATTTTGGCGTGATACTGACTAACCTCGTGTAGGGTATAGAGCCGGTGCCTTTAAGCCAAGAGAAGAAAGAATGGAACCAGGATCAGTGGATCCCATGCACACACGTGCGTGTACACACACACGTGCGCATACACACGCAAAGGAGAAAAGAATCTATAAACTTGACCCAGGGTTCTTGGAGCCGTGTCTAGGGAATATTAAAATGTATATAATATTTGTTCTACCTCCAAGTTAGGAAAATATTTTAAAGGTAGATTACTATTGAAAGTATTTTTATTATGATTTGGTAGGATAGTGTGTAATTTTAAGGAATCTGTATTCTGACTCCTTGATCTAACCGTAGGAGTGTCAGGTAAAGGCAGTGCCCCACTTATCAAGTCCGGGTTTTTCTGACAGTTTCTACGCCCCGATCACACAGATTGAGTGAGGTTAAGGGATTCTAGAGCCCAAATCGTTACTGCGGTGCCAGTGCACCGAGAGCTTTGTGAGATGCTAGCACAGGCGCAGTGATGGCCGTGGCCGCTAACCTCCAGGGGAGGCTGTGCTTCTGCGTCACAGCACAACGGCTGCTGTTCGTAGTGATGACTGTCAGCCATTAACGTTGGTTCAGGACACCATGTTTAAGAAACTCTGATAGCATGTAGCGTTTAGAAAATTTACATCAGAAGTAGTCTGGTGTCTTGAAGTCCATAAACGGGAAGATCCCCCATACAGGGAGCATATTATCTAAAGCCAGGAATGGGAGTTGATGCCACGTATGACATTCACATGGCAGGACTGGTTCCTGGCTGGTTTCAGTTGAACACAATAGTAGACTATAGATAAAACCTGGGAAAAGAATCCAGACAATGGGACAGTCCACATAAATGCTCCAGAGTAGACGTGTAACACTGCAGCGCCTCACTGTGTCACGTGCTTCAGGAACATTTCCTACCCTTTCATTGGAGGGAACCACACCTGGGTCAGATGCCGAGACTGCACGTGTGGCATAGGTCTGTTCCCGATTTTGGAGTCGATGGTAGTGTAATACGTCACAGGGCAGGTGGCCATTAATTTTAAAATCTTATGTGAGCTTCCTTGTACTCTGTTTTTGCTTAGAGCATCACAGTAGCTAGCAGTTTTTATCCTTTCTTGAGGTCTAGTGTACTGTGGGTATTTTAAAATACAGGGGTAAGATTTGTGTTTGGAAAGAGCAGATTTATTTAAGTCCTACAGTGTAATTCTGAAATTACATTCCAGGGATACAGAAATGCCTCATGCTTCCCCATGCAGCCTTCTGTTGTGTTTCATGATTAAAGCATATATATACTTAACGTATTTTGTTTGTAAAATCTGTTTTATAGCTTAATTTGCATATAAGTAATGACCATTATACCAAATACAGTAAACTTAGCTTTTTAACTATGTGCAAGAATTCAGGAGCATCGCCATCTTTGTCGTCTCTGAAACCGGAGATGAGGACATTGCCCTGTCTACATCATTAAGATGTTATGTGAAACCCTTGGAAAAATGGCAAGTCTTATTACCAGTACAGTGGAAATTATTAGAATTTGCTGCCTTAAATCTTTGGAACGAGGCAAAGTAGAAATAAGCAGGAGTATAAGTATTAATATGTCCTTAATTGAAGTATCATGCTAAATTTCATTTCATGAAAACCAGCTGGCTTTATTTTAAAAATTCTCCACTTAATTTATGTGCCCCGTCCTTAAATTTACCATCACTGTGCAATGTGACATTTTCTTCTCCTTGTGAGCACATGATAGATGCTAATTTTTTCCTTTAGCAGAGCCCATAAGACCAAGGTAAGAAGCCAACAACAAAGTTTGCTGGATGGCAAATAAAATGAAAATACTGAGCAAAAGAGGCAGTGTTTGGTTTTGCTTTGTTTTTTTTTTTTCCCTGAGGACTGGAGTAGACATGTTAGATTAACATATATTTGCTTTTATTTGTGTGTGTGTGTGTGTGTGTGTGTGTGTGTGTGTGTGTGTGTGTGTAATGTCTTTTAGGGGGAACTTGAACGGCAGCTTTTGCAAGCAAATCCAATCCTGGAATCATTTGGAAACGCAAAGACTGTGAAAAATGATAACTCATCTCGTTTTGTAAGTTTAAAAGCACCAGAAACTTTTCATTCCTCAGACTTCTAGTTGAATGTCTACCATGATTAAGCAAATCAAGTACTTTCCTTCCTAACAGATGTAGTAGGGAACAGGGCTGTCCAACAGAAATACGATGCAAGTCACGTGTAATTAACATTTTCCTAGAAGTCACATTTTAAAAAGCAAAACAAATGGGAAAGTAATTTTAATCATATGTTTATTATAGATAGTTATGTATTATTCTGTGGATGTATAATTATATAACCTCTCTGAACTTATTTCTTCGTGTTTGATTGGGGACGATATGTAATTATGAGGTTGGCGTGGAGATTAAATGAGATGCGTGCTGAATACTTAACACAGAGCCAGGCACAGTGAACACTCAACAGGCGAAGTTGGAATTGGATGTGGTAAATTGTTCTTTTCGTACATTACCATTTCTATGGGGTGTGGACCTCAGAATAATTTGTCCCTCACATTTTGTCTCCTCAAAAATTTCCTCTCAGCCGTTCGACTTCCTTAATTCGCTGAAAGCTTTACTTTCTTCGTCAGCCCGACCGGCTTGCACGCCTAGTCTGGGGACGTTATCCTGAGTGACAGCCGGCTCAGTGTGACTTACGGGACACAGCCCTCCCCTTTCCAGCTGCTTAGAGTCGACACTTTAATAGCAAATCATTCAACTTCTGTTATTTCTACTTAAGTAATTCGAGTTAATTCTATGTTTTTCCTCCCTTCTCTGATATTAGACGTCTTGGTTAAAGTTAAGAAGGCCAGAATCAGAGACTTCAATTCTAACAATCCCTTGATGGGCAGTTTCTGGAAATCGGGTTCACTGTGACATTCTTTACTCTGGGTCCGCACGTTAATCTCCTGACGATGTGGTTTCTGTGATTAGGAGATGCCACCAGATCACAGAGGACCCAGGAAATACAAAGGTAGCTAGATAACCCTCTGTATGCCTTTGCCCGGGCCGCCAAAACAGAGCACCACAGACTGGGTGGCTTAAACAATAGACATGTATTTTCTCACAATTGGAGGAAGTCTGGGATCAAGGTGTTGGCAGGGTTGGTTTCTTCCGAGGCCTCTCTCCTTGGCTTGTGGACGGCCGTCTCCTGTGAATTCACGTGCTCTTCCCTCTGCATGTGTCTGTGTCCGTTCTTCTCTCATAAGACCCCAGTCATATTGGATCCGGCCCACCCTAGTGACCTCATTTTAGCTTAATTACATCTGTGAAGACCCTTTCTTTAAACACAGTCATGCTCTGAGCTACTAGAGGTTAGAACTTCAACATATGGATTTGGGGGTGGGGGGACGATTCAGCCCGTAACACCCTCAGAGGTAGTTTAAGTGCAAGAGACTTTAGCCAAGTTATGTAAGAAGTATGGGACTGTTTGCTTGGAATATTGTTTATTCCCAGTAAGATAAAATCTGAAGATTTGCTTAATCCAAGTTCATTTAGTAATTATTCTAGCTTTTTCTGTACAAAGTGGGATAACAAATGTGCCCGTGTCAGTAGGAAGCATGGCTGTGACTTTTGGCTCTGGGGAAACGGAGCTGCTTTGTGAGTTTCTATCATTCTGTGGACCGTCAGCACTGAGCTGGAGCCACAATTAGATCTGGAATTCTTCCTCCTGAAAGCCCTGTGTTTAGTGGCTGTGTCCTGGGACGGGAGACACAGTGAGCTACCAGCTTTGGTATGTGAATCTCCGTGAAGATTTTCAAGGACTTCTTAGTGGAAAATGTTTTCTTTTACCACATAAATCAAGTTACCAGTCTATTCTGATTTCTAGCCCACCCCCCCCAAACCACACTCTAAATTCAAGAAAAACACTTTTGTACCCATTTGTCTCATTTTTGCCTAGAAAAGATAAATTGCTACTAAGCAGTCCTGTGTGTCCTTTGGTAAAGAATGTAGTGATTCTGTTACTAAGTGGTAAAGATTCATCTACTGAGGTTTTTGTGTTTGGGACAGACAGACGTGTTGCTATGTAACAAATTCCCCTGAGACCTAGTGACGTAAAACGTTTATCGTCTCAGCGTTTCTGAGTGCTGGTTCTGGCCCGTGGTCTCCCGTGAGGTCGTCATTACTGTGTGATTGGCTAGCGCCGAGGCATCTGAACGCCTGCTGAGGCTGGAGGAGCTTCCCAGCTTACTTGGGTAGCTTTTGGCAAGAAGCCTCAGTTCCACACCTCAGTGGCCTCTCTGCCACATGACGCTTGCTCACGACATGGCAGCCGGCATCCCCCAGAGCAGGTGACCCGAGTACCAGAAGGTAGGGGTTACTGAGGCCATCTTGGAAGTTGGCTACCAGAGATCATTAGATTTCCATATTGACGTATGTAGGTTACAATCCGTAATTTGCATGACTCTAGATCGCTGGTTCTCATTTTGGGGTCCCCTGGGGATCCCACGTTTGACGTCTTGTGGGTGGAGGCCAGGGATGTTGCTAAACATCCTACAATGTACAGGACAGGCCCCACAACAGAATTATCCCCAAATGTCAGTTATATGGAGGTTGAGAAACTCTGCTCTAGTTCGTTCCTTTAACTTGTAGTCTAAATTAAGCTGATCACTTTTTGAAATTCATTTGCAGAGCAATTACTATACTTAAGTCTCCTTAATGCTTGTTATTGACGCATCCTGTTCCAAAGGCTGATAAAATAATTCTGGTGGGAACTTCTTTTACATTCTACTGGTGGGAAGAATTTCTTAGATTGTTTCCTAGCAAGATTGATTCTAGCAAGAATCACCCATTCAGTGTGAATTCTCAACAAACCCTGATTCAGCTGAGGTTCCACCTTCCAAAGTGCTGTACTACTGAATAATCATCATTAAGTATGCTCAATCTAATATAGTAAAAGCTAATCTTTTTTTTTTTTTTTGGAGTATAATTGCTTCACAACGCTGTGTTAGTTCCTGCTGCACGATGAAGTGAATCAGCCATAGGCATACATATATCCCATCCCTCTTGGACCTCCCTCCCACCTCCACCCCCATCCCACCCATCTAGGTCATCACAGAGCACTGAGCTGAGCTCCCTGCGCTATACAGCAGGTTCCCACTAGCTATCCATTTTACACATGGTAGTGTATATATGTCAATCCTAATCTCCCAATTCGTCCCACCCTCCCCTTATGCCCCTGTGTCCACATGTCTGTTCTCTACGTCTGTGTCTCTATTCCTGCCCTGCAAATAGGTTCATCTGTACCATTTTTCTAGACTCCACATATATGCGTTAATATACGATATTTGTTTTTCTCTTTCTGACTTACGTCACGCTGTGTGACAGACTCTAGGACCAACCACATCTCTACAAATGACCCAATTTCGTTCCTTTTTATGGCTGAGTAATATTCCATTGTATATATGTACCACATCTTCTTTATCCACTCCTCTGTTGATGGACACTTGTTTCCATGTCCTGGCTATTGTAAATACTGCTGCAATGATCATTGGAGTGGATGTGTCTTTTTGAATTATGGTTTTCTCAGGGTATATGCCCAGTAGTGGGATGGCTGGGTCATATACTAGTTCTATTTTTAGTCTTTTAAGGAACCTCCGTACTGTTCTCCATAGTGGCTGTACCAATTTACATTCCCGCCAACAGTGCAAGAGGGTTCCCTTTTCTCCACACCCTCTCCAGCATTTATTGTTTGTGGATTTTTTTTTTTTTTTTTTTTTTTTTTTGAGGGCTTTCTCCAGTTGCAGAGAGCGGGGGCCACTCTTCATCGCGGTGCGCAGGCCTCTCACTGTCACGGCCTCTCCCGTTGTGGAGCACAGGCTCCAGACGCGCAGGCTCAGTAGTTGTGGCTCACGGGCTTAGTCGCTCCGCGGCATGTGGGATCCTCCCAGACCAGGGCCCGAACCCGTGTCCCCTGCATCGGCAGGCAGACTGCCAACCACTGCGCCACCAGGGAAGCCCCTGTGGATTTTTTGATGATGGCCATTTTGACAGGTGTGAGGTGATACCTCACTGTAGTTTTGATTTGCATTTCTCTAATGGTTAGTGATGTTGAGCATCCTTTCATGTGTTTGTTGGCAATCTGTATATCTTCTTTGGAGAAATGTCTATTTAGGTCTTCTGCCCATTTTTGGATTGGGTTGTTTGTTTTTTTGATATTGAGCTGCATGAGCTGCTTGTAAATTTTGGAGATTAATCCTTTGTCAGTTGCTTCATTTGCAAATATTTTCTCCCATTCTGAGGGTTGTTTTTTCGTCTTGTTTATGTTTTCCTTAGCTGTGCAAAAGCTTTTAAGTTTCATTAGGTCCCATTTGTTTGTTTTTATTTCCATTTCTTGAGGAGGTGGGTCAAAAAGGATCTTGCTGTGATTTATGTCATAGAGTGTTCTGCCTATGTTTTCCCCTAAGAGTTTTATAGTGTCTGGCCTTACATTTAGGTCTTTAATCCATTTTGAGTTTATTTTTGTGTATGGTGTTAGGGAGTGTTCTAATTTCATTCATATGGTAGTTCTATTTTTAGTTGTTTTTTTTGGTTGTTTTTGCGATATGCAGGCCTCTCACTGTTGTGGCCTCTCCCGTTGCGGAGCGCAGGCTCAGCGGCCATGGCTCATGGGCCCAGCCGGTCCGCGGCATGTGGGATCTTCCCGGACCGGGGCACGAACCTGTGTCCCCTGCATCGGCAGGCGGACTCTCAACCACTGTGCCACCAGGGAAGCCCTATTTTTAGTTTTTTGAGGAACCTCCATACTGTTCTCCATAGTGGCTGTATCAATTTACATTCCCACCAACAGTGCAAGAGGGTTCCCTTTTCTCCACACCCTCTCCAGCATTTATTGTTTGTAGATTTTTTGATGATGGCCATTTTGACAGGTGTGAGGTGATACCTCATTGTAGTTTTGATTTGCATTTCTCTAGTAATTAGTGATGTTGAGCATCTTTTCATGTGCCTCTTGGCCATGTGTATGTCTTCTTTGGAGAAATGTCTATTTAGGTCTTCTGCCCATTTTTGGATGGGGTTGTTTGGGGTTTTTTTGATATTGAGC